TGATGCCACGATTTCTTCATAGAACCCAGCTTCTTGGATTATTTGCTCACCATACAGGTTGAATAAGTATGGTAAAAAATTACAACCCTGTCACACACTTTTCTTCATTTTAAACCATTCAGTGTTCCCATGTTGTGTTCGAACAACTGCCTCTTGGTCCATGTATAGATTCCTCACGAGCATAATTAAGTGTACTTGTACTTCGCAATGTTGTCCATAGCTTGCAACTGAAGGGGAAGGATTCTTAATATCAAGGGTCAAGTTTGCCTCCTCAGTACACTGGGACAGGCAACTTAGACTTAAGCTATTAAAAAAAAAAAGTGCGTAAGAGAGAATCCTCACTGACTAGTTTTCCCCTTTCCAGATCTGTCTGATGAAAGGGGATGGGGGATGACAGGCATAGGATTTTATGATTCAATTGGAAGTGCTATCAGTACTAATGATGATGGTCACAACTCTAAATGTAGACCCTGTTGGTGTTAAGTGCTGTTGAGTTGGTTTTGACTCATAGCTACCCAGTTTCTAAGGAGTGGCTGGTAAACTTGAACCGCCTACCTTGTAGTTCAAACCGACCTTGTGGTCCTGCACTTAAGACTACAGCACCACATCAGACTTCAATAAAGATTTGTAACTAAAAGAGAGGAGCAATTAATCTGTCATTTCAGGAACAGAGGATGCTAGGATCATCAAGAGGGAAGAGCATGAGTGGAGTGTGGGATCTTAACCAGAAAATCAGTGACAACAGAGATGGTGGCAGAGGCGTTGGCATAGAGAGATAGAGCAGTTGAAGACTAGAAGACCCATGGACTGAGAAAGGCTGTGTGCCGGACATTTAAAAGAACATATATTTTCAGTGTGGCATGTGTACATAAAAAAAAAAAAAAAAGGCGGGGTGGGGTGGGGGTGTTGGGAGAGATAGAGGTAAATACTGTTAACCGATGGTACGTGGAGGGATTGTAATCATTGCAATGATTTATTGAATGTAAAATTGATGATCTGCCCTGTAAACCATCACTCAATTCACAATAAAAGTGTTACAACCCCACCCCACCCCCCAAAAAAACAGTTAAAAGTCATAGTTCTAATAGCAATCATCTCATAATTCAATCCGGATGAAAAATTTTTAGCACTCTGAGCCTTATGATCAAAGGAAATAGCACATTTGTATTTCAGTGTGAATGGGAATTTAAAACAGCATAGCAGTCTTTTATAAAGCTTAACATAAACGGACTATACATCCATTGTTGTCAAGCCAATTCCAACTCATGGCATCCCTGCAGACAGCATACAACTACTCCCATAGGTTCCTAAGGCTGCAATCTCTAATCAAGGACATTGCCACATCTCTCTCCGGTGGAGCGCCTCCTAAATTTTCATTTTTCTTGGGTAAATATGAAAGATGTTATTGCTGGGTCATATAGTAAGTATCAAGAACCCTAGTGGTGCTGTGGTAAAGTGCTCAGCTGCTAATCAGAAGGTTGGCAGTTCAAACCCACCAGCCTCTCCACAGGAGAAAGTTGTGATAGTCTGCTTTGTAAAAATGTTACACCCCTGGAAACCCTTTGGAGCAATTCCAGCCTGTTCTACAGGACTTCTGTGCATCAGCGTTGACCAGACAGGAACGTCTGGTGGGTGTAGCGAAAACGTATGTTTACTCAAAAAAGTTTACAGCAGCTTTTCTTATAGTCCCCCCAAGTTGCAAACAATAATGATAACCAGTGAATAATATAGATAAATAGATTGTGACATGTATACAATGGAATAGGCAAAAAACCCATTCCAATTTATCAATTGTTGTTAAGTACCATTAAGTCGGTTCTGACCCATAGAAATCCTGTATGGGGTTTCCAAGGAGCAGCTGGTGAGTTTGAACCTATCGATCTTGTGGGTCAAACTGACCTTTCAGTCCATTGCTTATCCCACAGCACCACACCAGGACTCCGCTAACATATCAATTAGAAGGAATAAAAACTGCTGATACATCTTCTTGAACGAATCTCACAGGTTAAGTAAAAGAAGCAAGATCCAAAGTCTATTTATCCTGTTTATATTTATCTGGCATTCTGTAAAATAGGTAAAACTGTAAGGACAGAAAACTGCTTGGTGGTTGACAGGGACTGGGGGAGTGGCTTTATTACAAAGGGGCAATAGGCACTTCTTAAGGTGATGGCAATGTTCTAGATTATAGTGATTGCATATAACTACATACCTCTGTTAAAATTCATAGAACTGTATACTTAAGGGTAAATTTTACCATTTATAAATTATACTTCATTGATACTGGCATAAGAAAATAAAATGAGACTTGAAAGGATTAATTTGTATGTACAGTTTTGCTAAAGAGAAATAAAGCATTTTCAAGCACAAAATACAAAGGCAAGTAAAAAAGAATTTATACTCACTTCCAGTTCAGGCATGCACGAGTCTATTCCAAACAAAACATGTTTCAACATACCTCTGCAATCTGTGGATGGCTGCAGACAAATTATCTCAGCTATGCAGCTGTGTACCTGACTTTTGTCTCAACAGGGTGCCTTTAAAAAACAACAAAAAAAAGATGCTTTTTCTGCCAAGGAAAACAACCATTTTGAGGTGAGGGCTAATATCTAATTTTTAACAAAACTCAAATGGATGTCTTTCTAAATCATTGAAACTTTACAACAAGTGTACAAGAATGCTGCCCTACATAAACAACAGCTTTTAGATGGAGCAGAATTTTTAAATAAGGTCAAGAAGATTTCAAAGATGAGCCAAGAGTGAAAAAACTGCGGCTAAAGTCCAGAAACTGGTGAAACACCAAAGAATGAGTTACTATTGTGTGATGATTACTGAAGTTGAGACCTCACATGGTTCAGCATTTTCAATATGAAGTGAACATCTTGATCTTGGCAAGCTTTTGGCTGGATGGGTATAAAAAGTGTGTGTCAAGATCAACTATTAGTCTTTTAGCAAAATGGAAATAAATGAAGTTGAATTTATGGAGCAATTTCTAACCATGATCCAGCGAGGAAAGTTCAATCAAAGTAGTGGCTTCTAAGGGGTTCTGCTGGACCAGCTAAATTTGAGGCAGAGAGGTCAGTTCAGAAGGTTATGGCAACTGTTTTTGGGGACTCCAAAGTGGTATTTAATCTTGATAAATTTTCTCAAAGAACACAAAGGCTTATTTTTTTGTTCCCCAAACTCAGAGAACATTTAAAAGGAGAGTGCTTGGAATTCCTGGAGGATGCCCAAACTGCAGTTTTGATGCCTCAAAAACCCTTTCCTATGCAGGGTCCCTAGGGAGCTCTGGGAGCGTAGTGATTAAGAATAGGGCTGCGAACTGTAAGGTCAGTAGTTGGAACAGTTGTTCCGCGGGAGAAAGTTGAAGTGTTCTGCTCCCGTAAAGACTTACAGCCTTGGAAGCCCTGTACAGGGACGCTATGAGTCGGAACCGACTCCAAGGCACATAACAACAACATGCAGGGTCCCTATGAGTCACACACCGCCACCAGCAGCACAAAATCGAAGAGCACAGAATTCTTTAGGGAAAGGTTAGAGAGATGAAAACCCAGCCTTTAGAAGTTTATGGATCTAGGTGGAGGATATGTGGAGAAACTATAGCTCCACATATTGATATTTTCAATTAATAAAGGTTTCTATGGTTTTGTAGCAATACTTTTAAATTTACACTCATTTTATTAGGATAAGATTCTGCTGGAATAGTGTAATGGAAATCTGAGTCAAAGGAAAAAAATAGGAGTCAAAGTCAAATTTCTAATTTCATGTCTTTTAAAAAAGTATGGAATATCAACTTGCTATGGTATTTAGAGTATACTGTTACTATGTTAATGGGTGAGAAACAATTCAGTAAATGAGGGTGACAATGTTTGTACGACTTGAAGAATGTATCATGTCACTGATGTACACTGTACATGCAGAAAGTTTTCAATTTGTGTTTGGTTTGCTGTACTTATTATTATTATTATTTTTACAATAATACAATAAAAATCGTTCCTCAAACATTTCTAATCCATTTTTCCTTATTTTATCTCTCCATGCACCCATTATAGCTTCCAAAACTTTCTTAGTTTGTTTAATACTTAGCTCCTTTCCCTCAATTTACATTACCCGCGGACCAGAATAAAAATAACAATAGTTAAGTCTTTCAATTCCTCAAGCAGGAAAATGTTTACTATTTCTATTTATAAATACAAAGAGGATTGGAAATAAAGCGACTCAAGTCTACTATACATATGCAAACAGCTAGTTGTTATTAAGTGCCATCAAGTGGGTTCCGACCCATAGTGACCCTGTATAGGGCTTCCGAGGAGCGACTGATGAGCTTGAACCGCGACCTTGCAGTTCAAAACGACTTTGCAGTCAAGCGCATTAATCCACAGCGCCACACCAGAACCCAAAACCGCTAGTAAAAACATAAAGTTAAGGAGAATGCTTGATAATAGAACAAATATACCGCTAACATTGGATGTAACTGTGCAACGGGAAAAAGTGATTTATTGCATTAATGAAAAAAATAAAATCCAATATTTACTTTAAAAGTTTTCGTAAACTTCAAACTTAGGAAAAAACTTGAAATTAGAAATGGCGCTGAGATTTGAATAAAGAAAAATAGGTCACTTGCTTATTTATTAGGTAAGGTAATCCAGGCAAGGAGAAAGTGTGATTTCTGGTGGCAACTTGGACACTAAGCCTTCGTGTATCAAAATTTCCTGGGTATTTTCTCGTCATTGAAGTCACGTGGAATAATTACAGGAGAGACAGGTGCGTTCACAAATGGATTTTTGTTTTTCAAAAAGGATTTTTGGCCCCCGGGAGCCTCCGGCCTGGACTACATTTCCCAGCAGGCCACGCCCAGAACTACGGGTGCTTATTTTAGGTCCAGCGCCGTTGGAGGAGGCGCAGTCCGGTGTGGACAGCAGACTAGCGGGAGCCTAGTGGTTTGAATGGCTCCAGGCCTCGACCCTTGCCTCATCTGAGGACCGGCCATCGAGGGGTAAGCTATGTCGTCGGGAAACGACCAGTCGCCGCCGCCACTACCTCCTCCTCCGGCGGCGGCGGCCTCGGAGGAAGAGGAGGACGGCGAGGCAGAGGACTCGGCGCAGTCGGCTCAGTCGCCGACCGCTCAAACTCAGCAGCGGTTCGAGGAGTTATGCAGCCGCCTCAACATGGACGAGACGGCACGGGTGGAGGCCTGGGAGAGCTACCGGAGCATGAGCGAGAGCTACACGCTGGAGGTAAGCCGGGGGCCGGAGGTCAGGGGCTGCCCCGGCCTACTCTGCCCCGCCGCGGGTGTGGGCGCCCTGCAGGGACCCCGGCGGGCCTCGGATCCCCGGGCCCCAGCATGGAGGACTGGGAATTCTCTGGGCACCGCAGCCTTGGAAACCTGGCTTTACGGGATCTTAGCGGTTCTGAACGTTAGCCGGGTCGCGCTGCTCTTGTCTCGGTTTTACAAGGGAGAACACCTCTTGCCCTGAAGTGACACAGCGAGGCTGGGGTCGTGCGGGAATCACCCTTCCAGAATGGGCCTGTGCCCCCTTCTGAACCCCCAGCCCCCCTGCAGGCTGGATGTACGGTGGATTTGGAAACGCGGGAGGGTGCGAGGGGAGGGGACCTGGGTCTTGGCGTCCCCTCCAGCTGCACCCATTTGCCGTTCTTTGCCCGGGCATTGCATCGGTGGTACGTCTGGAATGTTGTTTGTGTGTGTGCGCAAACTCCTTACGACGACTCTTCCCAGGCCTAGAGTAGTGGGCTCCCTGAATCCTCGTTTGTCATCTGGAAGGCCGACTTGAGACTGCCCCAGGCCTGGCACAGGGGACTCTCAGCGCCTGTGATGCAGGCATGTTCTGTTCCTTTCTTCCTAAGGAGCTGCGATGAGAAAATGGCCTTACCAGCCAGTGGCTGTCAACCCCGCAGGCACCGCCCCTTCACGGGCCAATGGGAAGTGACACGGAAGTCCGGGTAGTATTTCAGCTGTTTGACCGCCAGTGTGGGCAGCATTTAAACTGAAGTCAGTGTTTTCCCTAAGTCTTTTCATACACGATGTTGTTATGACGTGCCGTCGACTCAGGTTGTTGTTGTTAGGTGCCATCGAGTCGGTACCTTATGCACAACAGAACGAAACACTGCCCGGTCCTAGGCCAACCGCACAATTGTTACCACGCTTGAGCCCATTGATGACTCATAGCGACCCTGTATAGGGATTTCGAGGAGCAACCCGTTGGGTTTGAACTTGTGGTTTGCCGACCTTGTGCTTTGCAGTCCAGTGATAATCCTACACGCCACACCAGGAGACCCTTCATGTACAAGGGGGCTTCAAAAAGTTATTGGAGACGTGGAATGAAAAGATAATGAAAATTATCCACGAACTTTTTTAACCCTCCTTGTACAGGTTGTGGAAAGAATAGGGCAAAAGAGTTCAGGATGCAAGAGTCGAACCGAGGTATAACTACCATATATTAGATGTTTTTTTTTGTTTTTTGTTTTTGCCTGTGTGTCAGCCTACTGAGTAAGGTTATTTTTTCCAGTTCTTGCATTAATTGCATTTTAATTCGATTACCAGTGTTATATCTACAGGGGACAGGGAAAGGATAGTAATATAGTGGCCTTTAGAATCTGACAGACCTAGGTGGTGGCTTTGCACAATTTACTTAACCACAAGACTTAATTTTGTGATCATGTATAGTGGAGATGTTTGTGCCTACCTTACAGAGCTTTCTGAAGGTAAGCAAGGTCATGTGTATTTCTGGTTCATAGTAGGCATTCACTCATATAGACAGTGCCTTAGAGTTTGCATACTTGCTTTTTACATACTCGGGTGATCTAACTGTTATCATAGTCAGGCAGACACACCCATTGCCATCAAGTTGATTCAAATCTGTCTAGGCTTTCTGAGACTATAAATCTTTACCAGAACAGACAGCTTCATCTTTCTCCCAAGGAGCTGTCTGTGGGTTTGATCTACTGACCACAAGGTTAGCACTCTGGTATTTATCCTATAGCACCATCAGGGATCTTGATGAAAGCATAAGCACCTCAAAGCAAATTTTGTTTTTATAGCTTTTATTATGAACTAAGTGATAGTTTACATGAGAAAACATCAGTTTTGCACTCAACCAATCACACTTTGCTTCATTGCAATGATTACAATCCCCTCCATGCACCATCAGCCAACAGTATTTGTCTTTATTCTCTCCCCTTTCTCCCTAAATGTTCACAAAAAACACGCAGTAATATGCAATTGTTTAAACAACCAAAGGACACACTTTGCAAGTCAGCCTTTCTGTTTCCATGGCTGCTCAATTTCTCCATGTCATCATCTCTGCCTCTATCTCTGGTGACACAGCCTCTCTGGTTAGGGTTGTATGGTCTGTTCCTATTCTTCCCTCTTGATGGTTTTAGGGTCCTCTGTTCCTGGAATGCCAGATTAACTACCCCCCCTCTTTTTTTTTTTAAGTTTTATTGTGAATTGAGTGATAGTTTACATGGGAGAACATCAGTTTTATACTCATCATTTCATTGCAATGATAACAATCTCCTCCGTGCATCATCATTCAACAGTATTTGCTTCTGCTCCCTCGGTTTTTTTTTTTTTTTTTTTTTTTTTTTGGTACTCCCCTCTTTTTGTTATATAACTTACACCTTTACAGTTGTGACAATAGAATTAGTCATGATAACAATTACTTACTATTGGATAAAAAAAAATCCTATCCTCTACTCCTTTCACCATACCCATCTAGACAAGATGAAAATTATTCCATGGGGATTCTACCTCCCCTCCCTTGCTCTGAAACTATAAATTCCCTCTTGAAAACTTGTAAGCCAGCCACTTCATGCCTTTATAGCTCCTCACCCCCATTTTATTTAGCCAGTGTCTAGTTGCCCATCCCTACAACCCTGTGTACTGAAGGGATAAGCTTGATCTTTGATGAAGACTCTTTCCTTCTGGGTTGGTATTTTGAACTACTACGTCTGTAAGTAAAGGTAAAGTTCATCAAATTGTAGCAATTTGCACTTGCTTTTATCTTCCTCTAGTTGAGTTCTGATCATCAAACCTTCAAAGCTAGGTCAAAAAGGTACTGTCTGCAAGCTTAGACATTCTTGCATGCCCCCCACCTCCCCAACTCACATCATCTGGACGCTCTAGCCCTCAGTGGCTAGGTCAGTGTTCATGGGCTCTAGAGTTCTCAAGTCCCCTGAAACTTCAGGCCAACCAACCCTTCCTCTTCTCTCTCTCATCTCAGGGTCGGCAAGAGTGTATGGACCATGGCCATGCCTTACTTTCTTTTTCTTTTTTTTTAAGGTTTTTCATGGATTGAGTAAAAGTTTACAGGCAGATCATCAGTTTTACATTCAACAAATAATACACCTTGTTTCCTTATGATTATAATCCCCTCCCTGTACCATCAGTTAACAGTATTTCTCTCTATTAACTTTAGCTTTAAAACCAAACAAAACACTCGGGCATATATAATAATTTACACCATCAAAGGGCACATTCTGCAAGTCTGCCTCCTGGCCACCATTTCTTAGTCCCTCACTTCCCATGAATCTAGAGGCCATGACTTATTTGTGTAAGTCTCTTTTGGTTTCTTATAGTAGTGTTTTGTAGTTTTCTGTGTATAGGTCTTATTTTTTTTCATAAATAGTGTTGTTTTCCTTATTTCCTCTTCAGTGCTTTCTTTATTAGTATATAGGAATCCAACAGATTTTTGTATATTGATCTTGTACCCTGCCACTTCTCTGAATTTTCCAATAGTTTTTTTGCTAAGTCTTTGGATTTTCTATGTATAGAATGTTATCATCTGCAAATAGAGAGAGTTTTAATTCTTCTTTGCCAATTTGGATACCTTAAATCTCCCTTTTTGCCTTATATCTCTGGCTAAGACTTCCAGCACACTATTGAATAGGAGTGGTGATAAGGGGCATCCTTGCCTGGTACCTGTATGCAAGGGGGATGCTTTCATCACCCTTTGAGAGTGGTGTTGGCTGTTGGTTTTATATATATGCTCAATTATGTTGAGGAATTTTCCTTCAATTCTTGCTTTGTTTACTGTTTTTGTCAGGAAAGGGTGCTGGATTTTGTCAAATGTCTTTCTGTATCAATCGATATAATCGTGTTTTTTGTCCTTTATTTATTTATGTGGTGAATTACATTGATTGTTTTTCTAATATTGAACCATCCTTGCATCCCTGGTATGAATCCCACTTGGTCATGATGTATTATTTTTTTGATATGTTGTTGAATTCTATTGACTAGGGTTTTCTTGAGAATTTTTTGCATCTAAGTTCCTGAGGGATATTGGTCTATAATTTTCTTTTTTAGTAATGGCCGTCCCTGGTTTTGGTATGAGGGTTATGCTTGCTTCATAAAATGTATTTGGAAGTTTTCTACTTTTTTCTATATTCTGGAATAGTTTGAGTAGAATAGGTGTCAGCTCTTCTCTGAATATTTGGTAAAATTCACTGGTAAAGACATCTGGTCGCAGACTTTTTGTTGGGAGTTTTTGATGACTTGATCTATTTCTTCCTTTGTTATAGGTCTATTCAAGTTTTCTACTGCACTCTGTGTAAGTTTAGGTAGCCTAAACAAGTTCTTATTTTATCCTCAGGATCATCCTATAAATTAGGTAGAACAAGCAATATCACCATATAGTTGAAGTATTTCAACTTACAGCAGTTATTATGTATTATGAAGCCCAGTGATACATACAATGTAAGTGAAATATTTCTGAAAACACAAGTTTGACCACTTGAGTTTTTGAAATTTTCAGTCTCAGTTTCTTGGCACACTCAGTCTAGTCTGTGATAAAATATTGTTATTGTTGAGTCTGTTCTGACTCATAGCATCCCTGCATAGGATTTTCAATGAGCTGCTGGTGGTTTTGAACAGCCGACCTTGCAGTTCAAACAGACTTTGTGGTCCAGTGCTTATCCTACAGCACATCACACCAGGAGCACGCATTATTTGCCAGACATTGTTCCAAGTACTGGGAATAGAGCAGTGAGCAAAACAAAAAATTCCTCTTTCACAGAGCTATTATTTAGGGTTAATGTGAGAGAGCATGAATGTCAATCTCATGGAAATATACGATGAAAAATAAAACTCACCCGTATGATGCTTAGTACTGAATACTGGTTACAGAATGTTCTGTGTTTTATAGCTCTGGTAGCATAGTGGTTATGAGTCGGGCTGCTCACCTTAAAATCAGCAGTTCAAAACCACCAGCTGTTTCATGCGAGAAAGAAGAGGCTTTCTGTTTCTTTGAAGATTTACAGCCTCGGAAGCCCTGTACAGAGTCACTATGAGTCAGAACCGACTCCACTGTAGTAGCAGCACCACCCTAGTTGTTAACTCATTTCATTCTCACAGTTCTCAGATAATGGAAGATCTTTATTTCAAACCCACATATACTTAACCCCCTAGGCTGTTGTTGTTGTTAAGTGCCTTACCCTTGATTCTGACTCATAGGGACCCTGTCCTATATAGGGTTTCTGAGGAGCATCTGGTGAGTTTGAATCGCTGACTTGACTATTCAAACGGACCTTGTCGTCAAGTGCTTATCCTACCAGGTTTCCAACCCCCTAGGCTATATCAGTTGTTAATTTTGAGGATGGCCTTATGGGCATAGATTATACATAGAGAGCTCCAGTCCATTTTGTTCTTTAAGCACTATAAAATTTATACACAGTGCCTCCCCTTTTTAGGAATTCTATAACCCCAGCAAGATGGATTAGAGTTCTGGTGTGGTGCTGTAGGATAAGCACTAGACCAACGGTCAGTATGAGCTGCAAGGTTGGTGGTTCAAACTCACCAGCCACTCCTCAGAAACCATATGCAGGGTTGCTGTGAGTTAGAACTGACTCGATGACACTTAACAACAACAAGATGGATTAGCACAACGGCCGCACTAGTGGGCTCAAGATTAACACTAATTGTGAGGATGGAGCAGGACCAGCCAATGTTACATTCTGTTGTGCACAGGGTCACTATGAGTCGGGGCCAACATGATGTCACCTAACAACATAATTGTGAATTTCGTACGACCAGCATACACATTGACAGATCATCTATTCTTGCCTTTCATTAAAGCACATGGTAACAGTGTCTTATTTAACTATACTTCTTTCAGTAAGAAATCTGGGTATAATAAAGAAATTCACTAATTACTATAAAAGTACAAAATTTACTTGTAATCTCATAAATTAGGAATGCTAAGAAGCCATTTCCCAGAGATGTGTTTAATATACAAAGAATTGTGTGTGTTTATTAAAATAGAAAATCTATGTCATAATAACTATAATGAGTTTTTAAGCAGGCCTATGTGATGTGTAAGGAGCTCTGGTAGTGTAGTGGTCAAGAATTGGGCTGCGAACCTTAGGGTCAACAGTTCAAAACTACCAGCTGTTCCGCGGGAGAAAGATGAGGCTTTCTGCTCCCATAAAGATTTACAGCCTTGGAAATCCTGTACAGGGTCACTATGAGTCGGAACCGACTCCACGGCACTTAACAACAACATGTGGTATGTGGAGTCCAGTGCCAGACTGCAAAGCCTTTTTTTTTTTTTTTTTTTTTAATATTTATTGTGAATTATGTGACAGTTTACATGGGAGAACATTAGTTTTACTTTCATTCTATCGTATATCGTCTCATTGCATGGTTACAATCCTCTCCATGCAATCCTTCCCCCGTGCCCCCCAGGTCTTCAGCACACAGTCGCTCTCCCTCTCAGGGTCTAGAGTCTCCAGCTGCTCCATAGCTCCACGTCATCATCTCTGGCTCCATTTCAGGCATCACTGCTTCTCTGGGAGGGTCCCATTCTCTGCTCTTCTCCCTTGATGATCCTAGGGACCTCCACTCCTAGACTGAAAAGTCAATCACTCCTCTCCTAGACTGCAAAGCCATTTGAACTGCAAGGTTGGCAGTTCAAGCTCACCAGTGGCTCCTGGGAAACCCTTCACAGGGTTGCTAGGCTAAACATTAGACCTTTAGTTACGCTGTAGCCAATGCTGGTGTACATGAAAACAAGAGAAACTGGAAAGTCTCCGTTTTTCACATACCACATTTGTTGTTGTGGATAAGTACCTTCCAGTTGGTTCCAACCCACAGCACTTATTCACAACAACAAATGTGGTATGTGAAAAACGGAGACTTTCCAGTTTCTCTTGTTTTCATTTACACCAGCATTGGCTACAGCGTAACTAAAGGTCTAATGTTTAGCCTAGCAACCCTGTGTAGGGTTTCCCAGGAGTAGCTGGTGCGCTTGAACCACCAACCTTGTGGATCAAATGGACTTTGCCTTCCATAGTGCTACACCAGGACTCCTAGGGAGAGGAAAATGTGTCAGTTCTTGAAAAGAATTATGAAAATGATCTTTTAGAAATGATGCCCCTAAAACTGATTTTCTTTGCTATCCGTAGTAGCCCATGTGCTTACAAAAGACAAGTTACATGTATCTGTATTTGCATAACAGATTGATCAGGTATAAAAAGTAGTTGCTGCCTATACATTAAAGCTTAATTTTTAATTTCATTAACTTTATGGATTTTGAGCAATGAAAAAAATATGTAGACAACAATATGTTCCACTTATTGTGGCGGTGTAACTAATTACCCTACAACTTAGTGGCGTAAAACAATTTGTTATGCTCACAGGTTCTGTGGTTCAGAAACTCAGATAGGGCTCAGAGGGGAAGTCATGTTTCTAGTTTATAATGCCTGGTGTCTCTCTAGCTGTGAGTGGCCTCTTCATGTGTTCTCTCTAGTATAATACATTTCAGGAGAGCCAGACCCCTGATATACTGTTCAGGTTTCCCAAGGACATGTCCAGAGAGAGTGCCGACCAGGTGAAATCTGTATTGCTTTTTCTGAACTTGGAAACTGTGTGATATCACTTCCACCTATGTTGTTGGTTGAGGCAATTAAAAAAGTGTGCCCAGGACAAAGGTGAGGAACACATATGCCTACTTCTCAATGGGAGAATATCAGCATTACATTATGGATAGAGCATATAGGATAGGGCCATCATAGAGGAATTGTTTGCCACCGATATATAAACAACACTTTTGATTTAAACTTAAAGGTTTCTTTTATATTGAAATGTGTGTAGCACATTAACTAAATTCACTTTTTCTTTTTCAGGGAAATGATCTTCATTGGTTAGCATGTGCCTTATATGTGGCTTGCAGAAAATGTGTTCCAACTGTAAGCAAAGGAACAGTTGAAGGAAACTATGTATCTTTGACCCGAATCCTGCGCTGTTCAGAGCAGAGGTAACTATGATAGACTTTGAAGACTAGACTGTGACTAAAAGCTTATAAATTGTAGTGATAAGTAAGAATTCTGTCTTTATCATTTTCCAAATATCTGTACATATTCGGTGCTGAATTTAGAAGGTAAGTTCTGATTTTCCTTTGCCACATCTAAGTTAGTATCCACTAAACACTACTTTTTTGTTGAAAAGTATTTGAGTGTTAATATATTAGAAACTTGCATGGGAGTTGTGACCCATGATGTAATAATTGGAAGAGTTCTAATTACCAAGAGAGTCTAATTACCTTTTTAACATAGGACATACTTTGTGTTGCATAGGTAAATACAATATTGAATATATGGTATTATACATAGAACTATATGCATAGAATTTATATCTTGATATATATGTAATGTGTAAACATTTAATAATTTGCTATTTGGGGATAAGGAGATAATTCAAGTTCCTGTTCGGGTGAACTACTACTTTTGGAGTCCTGGTGTGGTGCTGTGGGTTAATGTGCAGGACTGCAAAGTCAGTTTGAACTGCAAGGTTGGCGGTTCAAGCTCACCAGTCACTCCTTGGAAATCTTAAACAAGGTTACTATGGGTCAGAACTGACTCTATAGCACTTAACAACAACAACGCTTTTATAATTATATTGTTGTTAAATGCTGTCAACAGGGTCAATATGAGTCAGAGTCCACTCAGCGGTACACTACAACCACAACATACGTGCGTATATATGTTTGTTGTTAAGTGCATTTTTGAGTTGACTCTGACTCGTAATAACTCTGTTCAGGATTTCTGAGGAGTAGCTGGTGGTGGGTTTGACCCAACGACCTTATGGTTTGCAGTGTAGCACTTATCCTATAATGCTACACCTGGAACATAGATATATATGTATGTGTGTGTACATATATATATATATATATACACCACCACCACCATATATATGACTTTTCATATATATGTATAGAGATGACTCCTGGTGTGATGCTAGAGGATAAGTACTAGACTGGAAATCACAAGGTTGACAGTTCAAACACACCAGCTGCACCTCAGAAATCCTGTACAGGGTCTCTATGAGTCAGAATCAACTTGATGCCACTTAACAACAAACATATATATGTGTGTATGATGTGGTGGTGTACTATGGAGTGCTGGTGTGGCGCTGTGGGTTAATGGGCTGGGTTTGAACTGCAAGGTCGGCAGTTCAAGCTCACCAGCTGCTCCTTGGAAACCCTATACACGGTTGCTCTGGGTTGGAACTGACTCAATGGCACTTAATAACAACAACACTGTTGAGTTAGTTCTGACTCATATTGACACTGTATAGGGTTTCTGACAGTGGCTAATGAGGTTGAACTGCCGATTTGTGGTTAGTAGTCCAGTGCTTATCCTGCAGCACCACACCAGGACTCATATCTCTATAGAGCCTTGGTGTGCTGTAGGGTAATGCAGTGGACTGCAAGGTCAGTTTGAATTACAAGGCTGGCAGTTCATATCCACCAGCTGCTCTTCGGAAACCCTAGAAACGGTGGAAACAACTTGATGACATTTACCAACAACATCTGTCTGTCTGTCTATCTATCTATCTTATCTATCTATCTTATCTATCTATCTAATCTACCTATCATCGTTTTTGTTAAGTTCCCTCAAGTTGATTCTGACCTATAGCAACCGTGTATAGAGTTTCCAAGGAGCAGCTGGTGAGCTTGAACCATTGACCTTGCAGTTCAAACGACTTTGCAGTCTGATACATTAGCTTACAGCGCTACACCAGGACTA